ATGCAGTTTTGCTTAATTTAAGGGGTTTTGATTGTACAAATGGGTTTTGAGGACAGTAAAATGACTCTATTACTGCTGTTTAATTGAATTGTTTGAATAGTAACACGTGACTTTATTTCCTTCAGATCGGTTGCTTATCAATGCCAATACAGCTCTTCAAAACTGACTATATCATAGTATGTAGCTGCTTTCTCTTTGATTGTGATCATACTTTGCCTTGTTATGTCATAACAAATCATAATATACTTGAATTGCCAAATCACTAGCTCAGTTTTTTTTTCTCTGAACGTCGAATGTTTATTTTTCTTGCACTTATTCTCCATACCAGTGTTTTGAACACCCGAAAAATTGGACTTGACAAGGAAAAAATGTGAACTTCCCTTAATGATGTTCACTTCTGGCACCCGTAGTATAAGTGATACTTCTGAGAAGTCAAGCTGTGGGGCCGTGAGTGAAAACCGCCTGTTAGTCAGAAACAATATTTCAGCTCTTACACTCAGACGATGTTAGAAAACTAATGAGCTGCCTTGCATGTCTGCCGCCTACATAGGCAGCATCCTAATTGAATTAAGTGTCTGACTTGGAGTGCTCTAAATAGGACGCAACTGTGAGCATCACTCATTCAGTCAGTCCAGTGGAGTTTGCCATAAGCTGCCTGTACAGTACAGTAAAGTACAGTTGAAGTCAAAATGTTTAGCCCTCCTAAACCAACCCTAAACCCACCCGTCACAGTGCTAAAAATATTAATTGTCATACAGTGTCATAAAAATGCTACTATAACTGATGTACATATCGGCCGCATATCCGATCTAAACTTTACCCACTGTACCCAGAGTGTTGGAAAATTTTCATCCTGGCCTGATATTTTTAGTCATCCAAAACTTTTGTGAACATGAACAACAAAACGCATAGAAAAAACAGTTGCTTTGAAAATATCTGTGTCCATGTGGACAGGGCCTAAATCTATAGGCCAGGGGTCACCAAACTTGTTCCTGGAGTACCGGTGTCCTGCAGAATTAGCTCCAACCCTAATCAAACACACAAAACAAGCTAATCAAGGTCTTACTAGGTATACTTGAAACATCCAGGCAGATGTGTTGAGGCAAGATGGAGCTAAACCCTGCAGGGATACCGGCCCTCCAGGACCAGGACTGGTGACCCCTGCTATAGGCCCTATAATTCCAGTGTTGTATGACACAGCAGAATATATTCATCAATAATTGGAAATTTCTTTCGAACCCAATCAGTCTGCATCATTGTACAGAGTGAGCTTCTGAGCAAACTCCAGAAAAGTCTCCATATGGAGATGGAAAGGTCACACAAATGTATTCGACACACCACAGCCAGTTTTATGTCTTTGTTGTGTGTGTGTTGTGCAAAAAAATGCACACAAATAATGCTTTATTCATCGATAGTATGTCCCTGTAAATATCAATAATGTGAAAAGGAGCAAATGTTGTTGGTATCACACTGACCCATGGCTTTCAATTTACAGAAGCTGCAGTCAAACGTATGTTGTTTTTTTGTGAAAATTTGGGCTGAAGCATGTGTTTCCAATGAGACGGTGTTGCTTTTAATGGTGTGTTTACACTTGTATTTTGGTTCTCATGTACTTAATTTATTTATTTATTCATTTATTTATTTTATTATTTTTTTACATAAAGATACAGCGCTAAGAATAGCGTTTATGATGATATAAACCAACCAAACCTAACACTGTTTGCTTGACTGAATGCTCTAGCTGAATATACATATGGGTGATGGTATCCCGGCAGGCACCTACATGGCAAAAAAAAATCATAATAAAAAAAAAAGAAACTCACTAAAAACCATGTAAAAATGCTAACCGATTTGATGTCAGTTGACTACCCAGATCGACATCAAAAAAATGATTACAAAATTGATCTGTCATTGGTTTTTTATGTTTTTTGTTTTGCCAATCCATACAAAATCCATTGTAATTTTGTAATTAGCATTTAAAGCTTTCAGAGGAATAACTCTTTTATTATAGTATAATACTTTTTTGGATCGTTATTTTGATGGTTGAACCTAGGATCCAGGAGGAACAATGCGGTTTTCATCCAGGCCGTGGTACACTAGACCAGTTCTATACCCTCACCAGGGTGTTCGAGGGTTCATGGGAGTATGCCCAACCAGTCCACATGTGTTTTGTTGCCTTGAAGAAGGCATTTGACCCTGTTCCTCGTGGCATTCTGTGGAGGGTGCTCTGGAAGTATGGGGTCAGAGGCGATCTGTTGAGGGCTGTCCCTGTATGAACAGAGTAGGAGTCTGGTTCGCATTGCCGGCAATAAGTCAGACTTGTTTCCAGTGCATGTTGGACTCTGGCAAGGCTTTGAAATGCTGTCCATAAAAATTATGAACAGAATTAGTGACAAAGG